CTGCCATATCGCGCCATCGGCCCCTCTGGCCAACACCATTATGTAGTTATATTTATGAGGCCACTGTCATTGCTAATCATCAAAAGTCCATGGGTTGTATATCAGTTGTAGAATTAAAGAAAAAGTACCTTGAGAAAATTAAATGATGCTGTCTCGGGACTAATTATTTTAAAATGTATAGTGCTACATATTTTTTTATGATGATGTAGATGTCTCAAAAACTCAAGTTCATGAATGAGATTGATAAACTTGGTGTTAAGGGAATAAATTTGATGTTAGATTCAGTCTCTCTGCTTCTTCATCATGTACTCAGCCTGATCATCCTCACAGCATGTTCCTTTTTTAGCACCAGTTTATGTGTGTGTGGTAAACAGTGTGTGGAGTTGTGTTTGCGCAGCTTGTTTAAACTATGAAAATATATATTTAAAAAAAACAAAGCTGCACCAAACCTACAAAAGAACCTGCTTGTTTTTCTTGACTGTGACCTGATTCCTCATGATAGACGATTGTTTGCATCTTCACCACTGAGTGCATCCCTCTTTACACATCCGATTGATGCTCGGTGCTTGCGTCATTTTTAGGAGGCTATTAACTGCAAAGAAGGTGGAGTCGCCTGCAGTCTCCCTCTCAGACTGCCTACAGCGCCAACAACCTCCAGCTAGATGTCAAGGCAAGACTGTGTGCAGTCTGAGGCAAAGCACAGGGGAAGAAAGTGCTTAAATAACATACTTATTAAATTTGTTTTTCTGAGCACAAAATAGGCATCAAATATAACTTTTTAAATCAAATTTTCCTTTCAAGTGTCATTCTATTTGGAACAAAATGATGTTTCCTGCCAGCACAACAGTGCAGGTTATAAGAGAAAAAAAAATACAGTCAAAATTAAAGGGAATAAGTAAACCAAATTAGAGCAGACAAGGTAAAAAAGCAAAGTGTGGAAATATATGGAGTTCACAGACATTTGAAATGTCAAGAAAAATGGGGCAAAAACAAGAACTCAGAAAATTTAAATTAGGTAAAAACTTACAAGTAGATATCTAGTCCACTTAAAACTAACGTGT